CTATGATGAATTTCGACCACCACTTGATGATAAGTTATGAAACAAACAAATAAAATAACAATGGAGATATTTCTGCAGAGTTTCTCTTCTGCCCACAAACTGTGGAATCTTTATTAATTCACTTTGCAACTGCAAAATACTGTGAATGACTTCAATGACTTGAATTACAAAATAAGGGTTACTCCCTCTTATTTATAGATTTAGGTTAACTTGCTCCCTAAGCTAAACCCAAGCCCAAAATATCTCTTTACTAAATCAAATCTAATCTAGATTTAAATTCAAATATATTTAAATCTAAACAAATCAAATATTCTTTTGACACCTATGAATTACAATTTAACACACCACCTAATTCATTGTGTCTAAACTGTCTATGTTCATCATGGCCCTTAGCTTTCTGAATACTTCGACCTGTACTCCCTTTGTCATGATGTCTGCAATCTGATTCTCAGTTCTGCAGTATTCCAAATTCATCTTCCCATCTGCTACCTGCTCTCGAAGATAATGGAACCTCATTTCGATGTGCTTACTTCGATCATGTGCTATTGGATTCTTCGCCAGATTGATAGCTGACATGCTGTCTATCTTCATGGTAATTGCTCCATGATTTTTTCCTGTTATCTCTTCGACCAAGTTCACCATCCAGGTTGCTTGGCATGCACAAAGAGAAGCAGCTATGTATTCTGCTTCGCATGATGATAATGCTACTACCGGTTCTTTTCTCGAACTCCAAGCAATTGTTGCACCACCTAGCATAAACACATATCATGCTGTTGACTTTCGATCTTCAGCATCACTACACCAACTCGAATCAGTGTATCCCACTAACTTGCATTCTTTTCCTTTATCAACTGCAGGAAACAGAATGCCATAATCGAAAGTTCCTTTGAGATACCTTAGTATCCTCTTCACAGCTGCTAGATGTGATACCTTTGGCTTCTGCATGAATCTACTTACCATACCTACATTGTATGCTAAGTCAGGCCTTGTATGACAAAGGTATCTCAATGATCCAATAAGTCTTCTGTATTGGGTTGGATCAACATCATCTTCATCTGCATCTTTCGACAGTTGCAGTCTTGGTTCTGCAGGTGTCGAAGTTGAGTTGCATTCTTCCATCTCAAACCTCTTGAGAATTTCTCCTGCATATCTTCTTTGATGCATCATCAAACCTCTACTGCTCTTGTGGAATTCGATACCAAAGAAATATGAAATCTCACCCAAATCAGACATTTCGAATTCCTTGCTAAGATCAACTTTGAAGTCTTCGATCTCACTCTTGCAGCTACCTGTTATCAACAAATCATCTACATAGAGACATAATATAAGCAATTTACTCTTGCTTCTTCTTACATATACTCCATGTTCAGTTATGCACTTCTCAAATTCCTTCTCCCTTAGAAAACTATCAATTTTCTTATTCCAAGCCCTTGGAGCTTGTTTCAAACCATACAGGGCTTTATGTAGCCTGTACACCTTTCTTTCTTCGTCATGTTTCACAAATCCAACTGGTTGTTTAACATAAACTTCTTCATCTAAGGGTCCATTTAGGAATGCACACTTCACGTCCATCTGACATATGTGCCAACTGTTGATTTCTGCTAGACCAACAACCAACCTGATTGTTTCGATCCTAGCAACAGGTGCAAAAACTTCGTCGAAGTCTATTCCTTCTTTCTGTAGAAATCCTTTCGCCACAAGTCTTGCTTTGTGTCGAGTTACTTCACCTTTCGAATTCGTCTTCACTTTGTATACCCACTTGACATCAATTGCCTTCTTGCCTTGAGGCAATTCGACAAGTGACCAAGTGTTGTTGTCTTCGATAGACTTTACTTCTTCGTTCATTGCTTTCATCCACTTCGAATCCTTTAATGCTTCAGCTGCATTAACAGGTTCGACATCTGCATAGAAAGCATAATGTACCAGCTCACCTTCATCATCTATCACATCATCTGATGTAATCACACAATCTTGCAATCTTGCAGGCATGCGTCTTGTTCTTTGAGGTCTGCTTGTACTGGGTATATCTGCTGGCTCCTCTTGTCGAACTTCTCTTTCGACTTGAGTTTCTGGCTCTTCGAATAAGATTCCCACTGAATCTTTCTTGACATTTGTAGTCCAATCCCATTCTTTGAACTCATCTATGATCACGTCCCTGCTGATCACAATCTTCTTGTTCTCTGGATCGAACAACTTGTAGCCTCCTGTCGAATGATATCCAACTAGGATCATTTGACTTGACTTGTCATCAAGTTTCTTTCTCAACTGATCTGGCACATGTCTATGTGCAATAGATCCAAATACTTTCAGATGACTTAAATTAGGCTTCACACCAGACCAACATTCTTTTGGAGTAATTCCTTCTAGCTTCTTTGTAGGACTTCTGTTCAAAATGTATGTTGCAGTCGAAACAGCTTCACCCCAGAACTCTTTGGGTAAATTCTTGCCTTTCAACATACTTCTCACCATGTTCATGATGGTTCGATTTTTCCTTTCTGCAATTCCATTTTGCTGTGGAGTATAGGGTGGCACCACCTCATGCACAATCCCTTCCTTTTCACATAATCTGTCGAAATCTTTCGACACATATTCTCCTCCACCATCAGTTCTCAAAACTTTGAGCTTTCGACCACTTTGTCTTTCGACCATGGACTTGAACTTGATAAATACTTCGAACACTTCACTTTTCTTCTTGATCAGGTAAGTCCATAGCTTTCGACTGAAATCATCTATGAATGTAATAAAGTATTTGTTACCTCCCATCGAATCCACCTGAATTGGTCCACATACATCAGAGTATATGACTTCGAGATTAGCCTTCGATCTGCTTCCTGCATCCTTGCTGAAGCTGTTCTTGTGTTGCTTCGCCTGCACACATTCTTCACATACTTCGTTTGGAATGTCAATTTCAGGCAATCCTGAAACCATATTTCTTCTCTTCAAATCTCTGATTTCTCTGAAGTTGAGATGACCAAGTCTATAATGCCATATCCATTCATCTCTGCTAGCTGCAGTCGAAAAACACTTGTGCTCCATCACATTTAGTTCAATCTTGAAGGTTCGATTCTGAGACATAGGAGCCTTCAAGATTAATCTCCCATTTGCATCAACGACTCTCATCAACTTATCTTCGATTGACACTTTATAATTCTTTTCGACCAACTGCCCTATACTGAGCAAATTGCTCTTCATGCCTGGTATGTACAATACATTTGAAATTACTGACTTCTTGCCATCTTTCCTCATGATCATAACATCACCAATACCTTCAGCTGCTAGGGTGTTGTCATTTGCAAATTTTACCATATTCTTCGTTGAGGGTTTTATATTGACGAACCAGTCTTTCCTTCCAGACATATGTGATGAACATCCTGAATCCAAGTACCATTGGTCCTTGAATCTGTCTTCATCTCTTGTTGTGACCATCAGCATCATCTCTTCTTCTTCTTCATGTTTTGCCAGCTTTGCATCACTTTCTTGATTCTTTCGTTTTTCTGGACAATCACTCGAATAGTGACCATACTTCTGACAATTGTAACATTGAATGTGACTCTTATCAGGTTTTCGACCACCACCTCTTCCTCTGTTTGCAGCACCACCTCTTTGGTTGCCGTGGTGTGGTCTTCTTTGATTCGACACGTCTCCTTCGATTTGGTTTTCTCTACCATTCGATTTGTTGTAGCCACCTCTACTTCTGTCGAAATACTTTCCTTTGCCTTTGGTCTCTTTTGCTGAATGTGCCTGTAAGGCCACATCACTCTTCGATTTTCCTGCAGCTCTTTCATTCATTCTTTGTTCATGAGATTCGAGCGTCCCTTGAAGCTCTTCCTTTGTCAATTTCGACAAGTCTTTCCCTTCTTCTATCGCCACCACTATATGGTCGAACTTAGGGGCTAAGGATCTCAGGATCTTCGAAACAATAGCTCTTGTTGTTAATGTTTCTCCACATGTCTTGATTTGATTCACTAGTTTTGTAACTCTAGTGAAGAAATCAGATATGTTTTCACTGTCTTCCATCTGAAGCAGTTCATAGGTCCTTTTGTGAGTTTGTAACCTCACTTCTTTCACCTTCTCAGCGCCTCCAAAAGACTTCTCCAGGATCTCCCAAGCTTCTTTTGCAGATTCTGAATCACCAATCTTCTCGAAATTGTCTGGACTGACACATTGATGAATTATAAACAATGCTTTATAACTCTGTTTCTCAGATTCTGTATATTTCTTCTTTTCTTCTTCTGAAGCGTTTTCGCCAAGCGCTTCGACTCCATCTTTTACAAGGTCCCAAAGGCCTTGACACCTTAATAGGACTTTCATCTGCTTGCACCAATTCTCATAGTTGTCAACTTTCAGAATTGGCAGCGTTGCTGGATAGTTTGCATTCCCATAACTTGTCATCTTGAATTCTTCAATCGTTCTTGATTGATACTTCCCTTGAATCGAAACACAAGCTCTGATACCAGATGTTGGAAATCCACCAATACACTATGATGAATTTCGACCACCACTTGATGATAAGTTATGAAACAAACAAATAAAATAACAATGGAGATATTTCTGCAGAGTTTCTCTTCTGCCCACAAACTGTGGAATCTTTATTAATTCACTTTGCAACTGCAAAATACTGTGAATGACTTCAATGACTTGAATTACAAAATAAGGGTTACTCCCTCTTATTTATAGATTTAGGTTAGCTTGCTCCCTAAGCTAAACTCAAGCCCAAAATATCTCTTTACTAAATCAAATCAAATCTAGATTTAAATTCAAATATATTTAAATCTAAACAAATCAAATATTCTTTTGACACCTATGAATTACAATTTAACAGTCACACCAACCATAATCTAATTCATGAACTGATTTGGGAGACTAACTTCCTGAAGAATGCACTCCAGAGCCTTCCAATTTATCATATCATAAGCTTTGTGAAGATCCAACTGCATCATAACCCTAGGAGTCCCACCTTTTATCTCATACCCTTTGAGTAATTCATAGTCCAACAAGATATGGTTATGGATATTTTTCTTAGGAACAAAGGCCCCCTGGCTAGAGCTAATGATACTAGGCAGCACCTTACCAAGCCTGCCAGTCAGAATCTTAGCAATAATTTTATAAAAGGTTGTACACCCTGCAATGGGCATGTAGTCCTTGATGTGTTTAGCACTGTCACTCTTGGGAATCAAGGTGACCACAGTGTTATTGAAGCCTCTATACAACTTTCCATTCTTGACAAATTCCATAACAGCTGCAGTGACATCCTTCTTGACAATTTGCCAACTAGCTTTAAAGAATTTTGCAGTAAAACCATCCATATCAGGGCTTTTAGCATCACCAATGCCTTTCAATGCTTTTTATATCTCCTTCTCAATAATATCCCTCACCAAGAACTTTCTCTGCTCCATAGTAAGCTGATTACCTCTTCTCATAATGTCAATATCCACATGATTCAAGTAACTATCCTCTTTCCCCATCAAATTTTCATAGAACTCAACAACCTCATTCTCAATCTCATGTTGACTATTTAAGATAGTCCCATCAGTTCTCTGCAGCATACACATAATTCTATTATTTTTCCTCGCTTTAATAGAGGCATGGAAAAAGGAATTCTTATCATCACCCTTCCTAAGCCAATTTATCTTGGCTCTCTACATTAAGATACTCTCTTCCAGATCATTCAGTCTAATGACTTCCTCAGTAAAGAATTTAACTCTCTCAATAATGGAGGGATCCATTCTACTATTCAATAAAACATCCTAAGATTTCCACACCCTTACCTCTTTGTCTAGTAGCTTTCCCCACTGTAATCCAATTCTCAGGCTTCTTGTCATCTACAACACTATCCTTAGGAGTTTGGGGAGACAGATCATGTGGCATAGGTTTCCACTGCTTGACTGGCTTCTTGATTCCACATTGGTGGCCAACTTTATGGCATTTCTGACAAAATGCAGGCTTTAACTCGTATTCAACTATCTGCTTCATTTACCCCCTTCACAATCACCAATGGTGATCTCTTCAACCAATTGCTATATGATATCCACCTCAACCAAGATGCATGCATAAGAAGCTCTCAGCTTATTAGCAGTGCATTCATCAGTCACCAGGGGAGTACCAATCACGCTCCAAATTTTGTTTAGAATATGTGTACCCCAAAGATAAAGAGGAAACTGAGGTAATTTGACCCAAATTGGCAACGTCCGGAGCAAGTCTTTGCTGACTTGCTCCATTCCTTCAAGATTAGCGGCACATTACGAATATTATACGGTCCTTTCATCAGAACCGCGTCCCTATCATCATAGCTCTTGAAGCAAAGTAAAAAGTAACCCTTATCATGGTACAACATATCTGGAAGAGTAACAAAATTCCATTCCTTCATCATATAGTTCTTCACTGTATTCATGCTCAAATCGACACCAAGCATATACAAGATTAGTGGATTTTCCTAGAATTTGAGTTCTGAAGCAATATCCTCCAATTCAATTTCTACCTCCACTTTTCCATCCACCAATTTTGGTGCCACATATTTCAACGCTACTCCATTAGCAGGATTTCGATTGTTCTTCAGAGTATGCACCCATAGCTTTCGACCTAACACCTTCAAAGGAGTTCCAATGGTTTCAGACTTCATTTCTACCTGATCTTCCGCATAGTCACTCATCTTCGTTGCTTCTTCATCACTAGGATCTTGCGTCCCTTTCTCCTCAATCGGTTGAGTCTCCGGAGAAGGATATTCGTTGACGACGGAGCCACTAGTGTTCGCGGCGTCCGCCCTCGTCCCCTCTTCGTCATCGGAGAGAGAGAGAAAACTATTATGGGTGATGTTTTTGATAAGATGAAGGTGGAAATAGAAAGGAAGGGGGTGCAGATTTTGCAGCCTAGGAACTTAATCGTGGTAGGTCCTTTTTGTTGGCCAACTTGTGTTCTTTCTAATTGGTGTCTAAATTGGTTGGTAGAGTAAGACTTAGGAGTCACAGTCGGTTGAATTAATTTAGAGCTTTAATTAAAGTAACATTTATTTATTATTTTTTATAAAATTGACAAAAGAATTAGTGATATTTTAAACTTGATTAGTTTTATGATATATAAAAATAAATATAAATTAGTCATCTACCCGATGCAAAAAAAATATACTATTTAATTATTTGCACTTATAAAAATTTCGTAAAATTAATTTATAAATTGAAATTACATATAATATTTAGTTTCGATTGAAAAAAATAAGATAAAAAAAAAAAGAGAAATTTTCTTTCGATTGAAAATAAAATAAAATAAAAAAGAAATAAGTCAATATGAAAAATAAAAGGTTAAATTACAATTTTGATTCCCTTATTTTGATCAACTCACGAAATCAATTTTTCTATTTATTTTTTAAATAATTTTAGTTCCTCATGCTCATTTTTCGTCCAAAAAAAACACTCATGTATCATTTTTTTATATACGTGACATTTTTTTTGAGTAAGAGAGAACATAGTGAGCATTTTCTGGAGAACATATAAGACAAACGAACAAACTGAGACAGAAATATGACGAAGAAGAAGTCGATCGGAGAAGATAATTGAAGGAAGAAAACATCATCGAAAAATGCAATGAATAAATAAACCTTTCTTATGTCAATTTAATAAAAGTAAGTCATGTATCTAAAAAATAGTATATATGAACGTTTTTTGGATGAAAAATAGACATAGAAGAGAGAAACTATTTAAAAAATAAATAGAAGAACTAATTCTATGAATTAACCAAAATAGAGGAGACAAAACTGTAATTTAACCTAATAAAAATAAACAGATAAATAATTGTAAAAGTAACACCTATTTTGAATATGTATATTCTTTTTATTAGTTATTTATTGATTTAATAAAATATATAATTTTATTGCTTTCTATAATAATAATAATAATTTAAAAAAATTATAATTTAGTATAACAAATTAAATTTATTGTTTGCTATAATATCCCACCCATTTAATCAATTAAATATATGAATATAAATATTTTTATATTAGTTATTATTATTTTAAAGTTTTGTATAACATTATTCACTACAAGAAAAAAGTCCTTTAGTTAGGGGTTTAACTCCTCACTAAGGTAAAAAACACTTCACAAAGTCAATATTTATGAGGGGACATAACCCATAGCTAAATCGCTGGTCGCAGATAAGGGGCGAGGAGCTAAGCACCTAGCCAATTAGCTTGGGGCTAAACCCCTCGCTAAAGGCAAAATTTGATTGCCCATTGGCTAGGGGCTTTACCCCCAGCTAAATACATGTAATATTAGCTAGGGGGTTTATCCCAAGCTAAAAACTATAATTTATTTTTTAAATTATAAACGTAATTATTTTATTCATTTATTATTATTATATTTATAATCATTTAATTTCATAATTATAATTTAATTAAATAAAAAATTCAATATTAATAATATTAGTAATATATTTTTAAATATAATACATAATATAATTTATGATTAATATTATATTAATAAAATACTGAATCAAAATTAAAATATTACAAGAACATTGTTTATAATAAATAAAAAGTGTTATCGATAAAAAATAATTTTCTTCATCGGTGTTACTGTCTTCATTGTCATTTTACCCTTGATTATCACACCCACCAAATTGTTGCATAAACTGTTGAAAAGTACGCATAAATTCCTCATATTCTCTAGTTTTTCTTCTCATTTCTTCCTCGATTTCTCTTTGTCTCTTCTTCAATTCTTCTATTTCAGCATTTCTCGCTTTTCACTTCACGGGCAACCTCAGAGTGCGCTAATGATCTCACAGTTTCCATCATGTCTGGGGTAAGTGAAGGTTGAGTCGATGATCCTTCACCATTAACAATTTGCATTCTGAAACTCCTATCACGCTGCCGAATTGTTTTGGCGAGACCTCCAGCACCATACACTCTCCCATTTTTTCTCTTCCCACGAGATACATCATACCAAGTCTGAAAACTCAGACTAGGATCAGTGGGAAATCCCGACGGAGGTGGTGTATATTCAGGATGCTGTGATAATCTTAGGGCAAGCTGTTTTTCATACTCCTCCTATTAAAAAGAGTAGGTGTTATTGCAATTTAAATTATGCTAGACACAAAAGAAATAAATAAAATGACTAAGTTTAAGGAAAACTTACTTGAGTTTTTCTTGAGCGCTCATCAACAAACTCCCCATTTTTCTTGAGATGAGTCTCCTTATGGAGCTCATTAAAAAGCGAAGTTCTGCCCAACTCATCACGCTAAGTAAATGACATAAAAAAAATAGTTATAACATAATTTAAAATTGTTGAGTTAATTGCAAAATAATTAAATTTACCATTCTCCGTGCAACATCAGCAATACTAATACTACCATAGGCGTAGTTGCAGCCGCCAATTTTAGAGGCTCTATTTTTCTTAGCCTTTTCAGATGTACTCTTAAAGGAATCAGAATTCCAATGGGCAATGGCCTTTTCCCAAGTAATTCTAACACGCCTCATCGTGTCAAAAAATCGTTGAGCACATTTAATGTTAAAATTATCTCTTATTTGGATATCATCTCTAGGGTCCCAACAACATTTCTCCTTCAAAAAATATAAAATAAAGTTATAATCTTGATTGAGTGAATTACTTTAATAAAGGTAAAAAAGATAAAAAAGATTAAACAAAGTTGATTATACCTGAAATAACCTAAGCCAAGCCTCCCTCTCATCGCCATCAACTACACCATACGTAGGCCAAAATTTGTTATGTTTTTCTTTAATGATCTCAATTATGCAAGTTGCTGCCTGATGTGATGGGTAAAATTTAAACAACTAAAATATGAGTTAGTATTAATTATAAACGAACAACTAAAATTTATAATTTAAACATAAACACTTACGATGATCCCTCTGGCAGAATGACAAATCGTCCATTCCTCTTCCTAATCACTTGTGGCACGTTTCTCAAAATGCGTGCATTCCTATGCTCTTGGCCAGCCTCGTCCTGAACAACCTGCTCTGCATGGTCGTCATCATCACCTTGCTCCTCATGCGGAGAATGCATGGGTGATGAATGTGACGTGCTAGATCCACCACCTGGATCCCTATACTGCGTAAATGCTAGATCTATAGTAGGTATGGAGGTGCTAGGTCCAGCCTGGGGCATATAAGATGTATGTCCAGGAGGACTAAGAAAAGCTGAGGGGGAAATGTCAGGAAATGTAGAATAAGGTGTGGATAGTAGCTTTGTGAATGTAGAAGGAGAAGGATGCATAGATGGTGGTGTGGGACGCATAGATGGTGGAGTGGGATGCATATGTGATAGAGTGGGATGCATCGATGGTGGAGTGGGACGCATAGATGGTGGAGTGGGATGCATATGTGGTAGAGTAGGATGCATTAATGGTGGAGTGAGATTCATAAGAGGACGATGTGGCTGTTAACTCGATTGTAGCATAGAAATAAGGTTAGCCGTGTCAGGAACCTCTTCTATAATATACCTCGATCGACTGCGGCAAGACTTATTTATTGGAGTCTTACCCTTATCTTTACGTCGGAGTGGCATTTTTTTCCTGTTTTGAAAGATGAACATAAAATAATTGATACATCAAACTTACAAGAATAATATATAATAATTCAGGCAAGAATAATATTATTACCCAAGAGTTGTTAGACATGAATAAAATAATATTACACAAAATATATTAAACAAATTAATATTACACAAATTAATCATCATTCATGCTCATCTTCATTATCTTCATCAGATATGTTATTATAGTCTTCAGACTCTCCTGACTCTTCATGCTCCTCTTCCATGGGCGTCAATAAAATAGTGGTGTCAACTTGTTGAACCTCAACTGTAGTATCACACAAGGTTGCAATCTCCTCAATTTCAATGTCCCCATTGACAGGTGAATTGTCATCATCTTGGAATGCAACATCCTCTATTACATCTCCAGTTTCAATATGACCTATTGGGTTAGACTTGATTGCAACACACCATCCTCATTTTCATGGTTGAATGGAAGGATAAGGTACGTAATAAACTTGCCTAACATTATGTGCCATTATGAAAGGGTCATACTCTTTGTACTTCCTGTATATTCGAACCTCAACAATGTTGTATTTTTTGTTTATTTTTGTTCCTCTAGAAGATGGATCATACCAGTCACAATAAAACAAGACAACTCTATTTTCCGAGTCCATATAATTATATACCAACTCATAAATATGTGTGATAACACCATAGAAGTCGTTCTCACCATCTTCTGTAATTCCTTTTACAACTACACCACTATTTATTGTTTTCTTCCCTTCTGTCCATGATTTAGTGTGGAATTTATATCCATTTACAAAGTATGTATGCCATTGATTTGCACGTTGATGAAGGCCTTCAGACAAACTCTTCAAATGGATTATTTTAGGACTTGGTGCAATAATAAGTGATAGTTGTTGTTTGAACCATGCAGGAAAATTGGCATGAGTGTAACCAGTTGATGGTTGTTCGCTTGTGCTTTAGAAATAGTTGGTACTAAATTCCCTATTTCAAAAATGAATAATAGGTTAGAGAATAAGGTATTTCAAAGGTAATAAATATATACGTAATTTAATTTATATACTTATTCAAGATATGGTTTGACTTCATGGAAATTAATCAACACATGAACATGAGTAAATTGCATTTCTTTTTCAGACAACCAATGATCACTTGTCTTTCCGGCTGAACGGTCAGGACGACCGAAAGCAGATAAGGTGAATTGACTTCTTTCAATAAAGTGAACTTCGTTCCTTATGATTCTTGGAGTCAACATCATGTGATTGAAATAATGGG